ACACAGCCCATGATGCACTATGGTATCTCCCTGTGACTGTACCATTACAGTGCATCATGAGTCACATAATTCCCATAAGTGACATTACACGCACTCATTGAGGGGAGAATACGCCTCCCCCCCCAAAAAAAATCTCCTTTCCCACAGTAGCAGGGAAATTCTTTTGGCCCCAGTCCAATAAAGCGCAAACGCACATGCTTAACTTTTAAGCACGTGAGTATTCCCATTGAAATCAGTGGGATTTGTCACACTTAAAGTTAAGCATGTGCTGGAGTGCATTTCTGGATCAGGCCACAGAGCCCAGCACCTTGCAGGATGGAGTCCTTTTGTAAGCAAGAAACAACAACTTGTCCTTCTTGTCAGTTTTTTTTTTTTTTTAAGCCATTTGCTCAGCAAACAAAGACTGTCTGGAATACAACCCCCCCAACTCAATGGTGAGCACTGACGTTTCTACTTTGGGAGGCAGGCTACTCAGCTGTGGTGTCATTTATATATCTGTACCCTAAAACATATACTCTACACAAGCTGATATGAGTTATTTATGCATGGTCATTTATTCCTTAGGAGCGTCATATTGTCAAAGGAAGCACAACGTATTTATCGTGTCATGCCTTGGCTTCTGTGGGGAGTGCTTATCCTATACTCAAGAGAAGGATAAAATCGTGGGCTGATTTTCTTCTCATTTATGCTGTTTACTCTGGTATAACTCTGCTGAGTAATTCCTGACACACATGCAATGTAAGAGAGATCAGAATCAGGTCGCCTTACAACTATGCCCTGTATAAGTTGATAGTAGGATTTTTTTTCCCCCCGTGAGTACCCATGTTGTTCAGGTTAACGGCTAACGTGCACATTTTCTTGTTCAGCCCTCTGTATTAGAACAGACATCAATGAGATAAAAATTAGGAAACAGTTCCCCTGCCCATTGCCCCGAACCAGCAAAATATAGGGCCATATTCAAAGTTGCTGGAAAGATTCCCGTTGACTTTGGATTTGCCATGATGGGCCAGATTTGCAGAAATGTTCAATGCTCATACGTGGCTAGATTTTGAAAAGAACTGAGCACCTTTGAAAAATCTGGCCCTTAGGTAGGTACCTCCGTGGTGCCTCTAACTCACAGCCTCCAGGTCCCGATTCCACCCCAGTTCCCACCTCTTTAGTGCTGTGTGGGAACATGTCTTCTTTATAGGATTACTGTTTTTTGGTTTCCCCTTCCTTTATGGGAATAAGCTGTACAGTATAAGTACCTTTATACCAGTATAACTGTGTCCATACTAGGAGGTTGTTCTGCTTTAACTAGACCGGTATTGTTAAAACAGTACGGTTATACTAGGGATAGGAAAGTAGTGGGCCGTGTGGCAAATACAGAACTGCTTGAAAATGATAAGTATATTCATCCCAAAAAAGTGGGAAATTTTTATTTCAGTAAAAAAAACAAAAACTGAACATTTTTTGGTTTGATGGGGGAGGGTTAATTTTGGGCTTCCTCCCCCCCTTCCTTTTTTTCAACTGAAATTTTAAAAGAAAAATCTGTTTTCAAAACAGGCCATTTTTGTCACCAAAAAAAGTTTCAAACAAAAAGCGTTCAACCAGCACTAGCGTTGGGTGTAGGAAAGAAATAAAAGCAATGAATGTATTTGTAAGGGTTGGGGGAAAGGACTTAAAGACAAATATGTACTAAACGTGTAATAGACATTCTATTGGGTTGGTTAACCATTCACAAAAGCTACAATTCTCTACAAAATTCTATGGGACGGTTCATAAGCCAATTTGTAAATGGTAAGGACAAGAGTTCTCACTATTTAATTCATACTGACATCTCTGTTTTAAAAGCGCACCAGTCCTCCTGCAGATAAAAGTCTCTTCAGATTTAGCAGATCTCTTTCTCAATTCTAATATATTTTAAAGTATTATGTAGCTTGTTCATAATTAATAGAAATTTTACCAAATGTGAAATTAATGAGTTGCAAAGGAGCAGGCTAATTACTGTAATTTAAGACTAGCGGGAGATCCCAAGCTGAACAAATAATAATGCACAATTTATATTTACATACATGCCCTGTACACAGACATCCCACATATGTAGTAATGGTATGCACATGATAAATGGCAGAATCATTTGTTAAATTGTGGAGCTATGTGATAACTTACATCTGTCTGGCATCTCTGACCACTTCATCTGTCTGCTGCCCGCTATTTACTTTCCCTTGGGACTAATTCAAACAGCCACCATTAAAAAAAAAAACCTCACAAGTTTGCCAAATAAATATTACCTCTTTTCCTCAAAAGATAGAATTCCCACATGCAATTACAGTGTCCCTAGACCTAGCCTGGGTAGTGTCGAGTCCCGGACAAGTGACGCATTTACATGCCCATTATGGTTCAAAGAGAAGCGTTGTGCCATTAGAAAATCAGGAAAGGCCTTTTGTGAATGGTGTAAAGTGCTGGTTGCTGGCTAGCTATGGTACGAGATAGCAAACTTTAGCTTTTCTGCCTGTACATAATATCCAAGTTGTAGACTGGGTAATTTTAATAAGAATTTGCATATTTTAGTTATAAATTTTCCCCCAACCCACACCCCCAAGGCCTGTTCAGTTGTACCCATCATACTAGGAAGCCTAGATTTGCAGGTGGAGGATACAAAAAAATAGCATCTGAAAAGTGTCAAAAAATCTCTCTGAAATGTCTATAATATTTTTTCCTGTAAAGTATGTGGTTTATACAGAATACATGGTGGTATGGCATGGTATAGAGGATTTATTTGTGCCTATAGAGAAGACTTATATAATTCACTCCCATCTTCACTGTGAGTAATGCAGCCATCTCTAGCTCCGGCTGAGTCAGGGCCTGTAACAGCATATGTTTGCTATGTAATTTAGGGGACTAGTACTTGTGGTAATAAGCACTGTACTTTGCAGTAAGTGTATGTATTACTACACGGTGAGCTATTTCCCACAGGTAGAATGACACAATTCAATATTTTAAATGTTATGTTTGACAAGTAACGCCACCCTTTTCTAATCATCAGTTAATTAGTAACGGATCTGGCTACTCCATGTATTATTTACTTCACCTTGCTTAGGAATAATGATAGACTTAATTAATCCAGTAAAGCTGGAATTTGCAGGGGACTGATCCTAAAATACTAACTCAGGCAAAATGACCGGTGGTCCAAACTAAACCTTTATTGAACGTAGTATAAAACTGGAGTAGCTCTAATTCAGTCAGTCAGTGGCATGACTCCAGAGGAACACCAGATAACAGAGCAGAATTTGGGAGTTTTGCCTGAGTTATAAGACAACAGGATCAAGCCCCATAGAAATATCTTGGATGAAATCCTGGCTGCATTGACATCAATGGCAAAACTCCCATTGACTTCAATGGGGCCAGGATTTTACCCTGTAAGTATTAATCTAAGCATTTCAGGTACAAACATACTTGCAGCAATAAATAAATTAATAAATAAAAGCCACAGTACAATGTGCTAACAGCAGATTCTGAACAAAAAAAAAAAAAAGCAGAGAATAATACAGTTCTGACAATATTTTCTGTTAAACCAGATTTTCTTTGATCATAAAGTTGACCAAATCGGGAAAAAAAAAACGTACAAAACACAGAAGCAGCTTCTGTCTATTCTATATTTTTAAAAATACTACATTAAAAGAATTAAGTACTGAAAAGTGAGGAAATGACAGAGTTACCCACCCATCTGTAATTTTCTGCCTGTGAATTGCAGGACACTGACTAATTACATGACCTCCGACTACTTTTCCTGCAGGTTCCCTGCCTCGTTCAGTGCACAAGATGGACGGTACTCCGTGGCAAAGACAACTGTTCAATATTTCTTTTTATCTTCATTGTTCAGTGGGAGGGTCCATGTTTCATTTGCTCCACACCCTCCAAACACTGCATTGAATAAGGATTTCTTTCTCTCGCTTTCTTTCTTTAGTGGCTTTAGTATAGCATTTATCACTACAGATTCTGTGAACCTCAGAAACATGAATGGATTTTATCCTCACCAGACCCCTATGAGCTTGGGAAGTGTTATTAGGGTGATTTTACAGAAGGGGGATTGAGACACAGGGAAAATGAGGGACTTGCCTGAGGTCACACAGGAAATCTGTAGCAGAACTGAGGATTGACCCCACGTCCCCAGAGACCCAGTCCGGTGCCTTGACCACAAAACCATTTTCCTCTTCCAGATCCCTGCTGTATTCACAATACACCATGCAACAAATGCAGTTCTCTGGACCACAGACCAATTCATCAATAGTCCCCAGCCAGTGGGGGGCAACCCCATCTTCTGAGAAAGCAATACAATCTATGGAGCACTAAGACCCAGCAATAGCTTGGGCAGGGAAAGGTAGCAGCCTGTATCTCCCTGGCCTTCATCCCTCCTGCTGCAGTGACTGAGGCCTCTGCTCTTACCTCCTCTCCCCATAACCCAGTCTCAGTGCAGTTCCACCTCCCTCACCAACCCCACACACGGTCCATTTAAGACCGTAGTGCTGAAAGAAGCCTTTGGATCTCTGCCTCCTGTGTGCACCTGAACTAATCATTAGAAAGGCCCAGAGTCGCCTGCCAACTTCCCTCTGCAATGTTATGCAGACCAATAGAATGCTGGCTGACTGTTTGGATGATGCATTACAGAATCAGTGCACGTGCCAAAAGCACCTTGATCAATTAGACAAATCACAACCAGTTGTCACTTGCCCCACAAAAGACAGACAGCCTAGGGACCTCGGGCCAGATCGGTAAAGGAATTTAGGCTCCTAGTGATGCAGATAGGCACCTGCTGGGATTTTCAAAAGTGCTTCAGCGCCTAATTCCCAGGAGGAGTTTGGAGGCAAGGATCATGCTGAATGTCCCAATAAAAGCCTGATCCTGAATAGACAGCTCACTCAAAACTCCCATTGAAGTCACTGGGAGTTTGGGGTGTGCAAGAGATGCAGGGCTAGGCCAGAGATTAGGCTCAAAATGATTTTGCCACACATTCCTACCTTCGCTGAAGACAAAGTCAGCACTGATGTCAAAGGGCTGAAGGCGGACTTCAGACAGCAAGAGAGTTACGGTTCTCTGGTGATCGCTGGTGATGAGGGAGATAGTCTGCTGAGCTTGGCATTCGTAGGATTTCCCAGCTGGGGTGAGTAAGGCAGAAAGGTGGTGCGAGCTGGCGGTGTGCTTCCCAGCTGTTGAGACCACATAAACAGCAGTGAAACACTTAGACCCCAACATCTGGCAGCTGCCAGTGTTGCTAAGAACGCTAACCCTGTGGAGATGTGCCTGGATTGCGGGGAGGTGGGCATGCGCTTTCATAAATCAATAGCTAGTCTTGGGGCTGGATTGTGCCTTCTAAACAACACAGAACTCTACTAGGAAGTGGAGCAGAGCCACTCCTCCCAGTGGGAGCTCCAGGCAGCGTTGTGGGAACTCTCCGGTGAGCAGAGTACGGCCACTGCACCAAGCGTTAGGAACGTATACTTCCCTCTATTCCCAGTGTCAAGTGGAGACATTGCTCCGCCTTTCTCAATCAGTGTAGTGATGCTAGCAGTGCTGGCCGCATAGCGGGCTTGATCCAAAGCCCATTGAGGCTTCTATAAATTTCCATGGGCTTTGGCTCAGGGCCCATATTCCCAGCATGCAGGCAACAGCAAGGACTGCGGTTACACGTAGCCTCTGTATTGGGGTGCCAAAAAAAAAATAATAGCTTGAGACACTCCGTTCAGGACTCAACCCAGCTCTTACTGTGTTTCTTGGAAATAAAAAAAAATGATCATTAGCCAAGTGGAAATAAGGCAGAATTTTCTCATTATGTCAAACATATTTCTGCATACAAAGACTGTGCATGATCAGCTGTATGGAATGATGAATAACTTCTGCCTTTCTGATCATCTGCAGCCCTTGTGTTCATCATTAGGTTTCACATACTAGAAAAATAGGGCTTCATATTTGCTCAATGTGTGAGGGTTAACGTGTGTGTGGCTGTGTATTAGAGGCATGCAAAATATTCACTACAAGATGAGAAATACTCAGAATTCAAGGTTGTACATTATGTTATAGACTCAATTATGGGAGGTGCAGCATTAAGGTGTGCAAACCCTTTTGGCGTGAATTTTATTTTTCAGTTAAAATGCACCAGTTTTCAAACCCAAAAGACTATGTTCTCAGTAGAAATGGGTAAATGTGCCTTTTTTCCCCCTAGTGAAGCTGGCATTCCCACTGACAAAATGGGAAGCGTGATGTTATTCCACATTTACTATACCGGCCATTTTATCAAAACCAAGAATTAACGGGCTTGCAACCATTGTAAAAAATAAGGCCCCAATCCTGTATGAGAGTAACTGAGCCGCTAGTCTCTGCCAGATTAGAGCCTTACAGGACGAGAAGTTTTATGTGACTATCTGCAAAACAAAAATGGTGTATTTTGTACAGCTTACATGAGGGTTTATAAACACACAAATTCCATATGCACTCCCTGCACTTACAGGAGAAATGTGTTGCAAGTCGGTTTTTTAAGACATCACTGAGCAATGTGCATGGAATTGTGGATGTCCCCATATTACAGAATTATTTTTAAATGTAACTGAACATGTAGAATGTATTTCCCCAGGGTTTTGTGCTTGGAAGAGAAATGAACTGCTGGTGGTTAAGAATGATAAACATGATATCTAATTGAAGCCAAATAGTTTCTGAAATATTCAGAGGTAGTGGCAATTATTAGGACAGAAAAGGATAGCTCTGTCTTTCAATTTATCAAGAAAATGGTGAATCATAGAATATCAGGGTTGGAAGAGACCTCAGGAGGTCATCTAGTCCAAACCCCTACTCAAAGCAGGACCAATCCCCAACTAAATCATCCCAGCCAGGGCTTTGTCAAGCCTGACCTTAAAAACCTCTAAGGAAGGAGATTCCACCACCTCCCTAGGTAACCCATTCCAGTGCTTCAAGTTCCCCCCAATACCATCCCACTGAGATGCCTATCGTTCATGTACCGTAAAGAAAAGGGGCGGAGGAGGGAAAGTATCAAAAGAAACAAACTCAGATGAGTGAAGGAGGAAAGATTGAGAAAGGAAACGAAAAGTGAGAGAGAGAGAGAGAGAGAGAGAGAGACAGAGTGTGTGTGTGTGTGTGTGTATAAACAGCAGCACCAGTGCAATCCCCTCTGCCCCAACATCAGAAAAGAAAACAAGAGGTAAACGTCCATCCCTTATTACCATTTAAGTGATTCAGTCCAAAGGTGGTTTCCTTCAAATTAACCGCACATAGGACCTGAATCCTGTTCCTATTGAAGTCAATTTCAAAACACCCATTGATCTGCATGAGAACAGGATCTGGTACAGCAACTGCCAGCCGCAGTGAGCAGTGGTAGAGGAAGAAACTGAGGCTATAGCAGAATGTGGGAGGTGGGCTCTAGGGACTGAAAACACAGGCATTTTCCTATTCTCCTGAATGCAGTGTAGACCTGCCGCAGTCTGCAATAGCGGATGCAGAGCGGGGATGAAGACTGGGGGGAGTTTTCCAGCAGCTAGATACCGCCTGGGTTAGAAAACGCGCTGAATTCACCTCCCAAAGACAGAAACGTCGTGTTTAAGCTTTGCCTAGCCTAGCAAGCAGATTGGGGGAAATACGGTTTTCTCGCCACGGCAAGGAGAATATCTGGTGACTGCGAGCAAACTGTACTAGATAGATAGATAGATAGATAGATAGATAGATAGATAGATAGATAGATAGATA